TTTTCACGAATTTAGCAAGACTTTCATGATTAAGAGATACTTAAGACAAAACAGCAGACAAGTTGGAGGCACTATCCAATCAACCTGTACTTACAATCTGATTGTGAAATGCAAAGGGATGAAATTATTTTAGGTATTAAATAAGAAAACACTCTTTTTTTGCTATGTTTGTGAAAGAAGGCAGAAAAAATTTAATAAGAGAAGGTAATCCACTGTTCTGCATTGACTTGTATTAAAAACTGATTCAATAATATTTCTTACTTTGCTGCTACTCTAGAAACGGAGTACCTAGAAGAGAATCCCCAAGTTGAGTAACATATTTAATGTTAATGCCTCTTCTCATTGTTGGTAGAATAATTTTAAAATACCAATGTTTACAGAAAGCACTTTTTCCAATGACTACTTCTACTGAACCTGAAGATACCTACACTACACTTCATTAATATGCTGCTTTCATCATTCCATGACAGATAGCATATATAAATACATACATACATCTATAGATAGATAGATAGCAAAATGCTGCAGCAGTGATGGGCAAACTGAATTTATGAACCGGATTATAAAATAAATTAGTAATAATTAGAAATTTTTAAATACTTTCTTTTTAAAAGGAGTAAAGAAATTTTGCGTTACATTGCTAATGGAAATTAAAAGTAACATGAAGTGGCCTGAGTCCTTTGAATTGTTAGCTAATTAGTATACATTTTGAACAGATGATGTGCATTCAACTGAAAAAAAACCAGCTTTTTTTTAAGAACGAGCAATATTAAAAGATGAACAATCATAAACGGAAAAGAAACTGTAAAGAAACAGCGTGCTTAGGACATCAAGGTTTATATCTCACTTAATACATGGTAGAAGAATCAGATATTACAGAGTTTAACTTTTTTTACTTAAAAAGGGCAGTTTTCTTGACTCTAGAAAGCAGACCAGAGTCTCTTTAAATTGTTGTGATATCAAGGAGAGATGGCCTCATTCTCTCTTTCTTCTGGGCTTGGCTGGAAGAGTGGCAGATTTAATTAAACAGCAGCAGTCATTTCCATGTGGGCTGCTTCCTTTTTTCACCAGAAAAACTCCTACTAAAATTAAAGTATTAAACAAATAAAAGCACCTATCAGAGCACTATGTACAAAAAAGTTAGTTTCTTTCCTATATACAAAATTGGCAGGGATCTAACTGATTTTGTGAACTATTTCTGTCTTTCCTAAAACTGTTGTTACTGGAATGTTCATCCTTCACCTCCCAGGGCACTTTGCTAACACTTAGTGTAATACAGTACAAAAGAATGCATGAAAAATATATTACGGGACTGCATTAAAAAAAAAAAAACACAGAAGCAAAATTTATATTCGAAAAATGCGTCAATGATCCCTAAATGGCAAGAAGCAGAACTGCCCATCTATTCAGAAGAGATGACTGGGAAGGGGGAGCACATACTCTGGAAGAATTAAGGTTTGTTTCGTGGTTCTAGAGATCCAGAGTTTAGAGGTTTTGGAGGCTACTAGCTGCTATTTTGTGTTTTTAACAAAAATTTTCATAATTTCAGCCTTATCTTTGATTTTCCTAATTTTCTTTCTTGTTTTAGCTTCGTAATTTTCTATTGTTTTAAAATATCAAGATTTATTTAGACACTTGCATCCTACACAGAATTTTTGCTTGTAATTATGTTTTATGTCTGCCTTCTACATAATCAGCTGGACTAAATTCACAAAGAAATATTTATTGATGACGAAGAGCAAAACTGATATAGATGTTTTCCTAACTTCTGATCTTACAGACAGACATTAATTTCGTGATTTGAATATAACTAAAATATTATATCCTAAGAAAATCAAAAGGACTATGCCTATGATATCTTCCATCCTACATTTTAACTTCTCTTACATGTGAAAAATGGAATTTAAATGATAAGAATATTATGAAGAAATATGAAAATTTCTATTAAAATATAAAATGTTTTAGCATAAAAATAATTATATATTTGCAATATTAAGGTTAATAGGCATTGTTCAAATGAACATGATCTGAAAATGCTTGTAATTATATGACAGCTAAAAACATGGTTCAACAGATGAACAGAAACACTGAATTAAACCTTTGCGTTTTCATAAAATCACAGGTTTTTAACCTGTTTAAAACTTGAACAGTCTTGACAATAATTCAGTTAACAATAATTAAAATCTACAGAGCATGCAGCTTATGCTACAGAAGTAGTACAGAAAATACCAAAGATGTAACAAAGAGAGAAATATGTTGGGGTTGCCCCCATCCATGCCGTGATGTGAGTCATGGGACTCAGCTTACAGAACAGCTGTGCATGTTACCACTGCATTACAATGGATGGGGAAAAATATATTGTAGCTGAGTAGCATGCAGGTCAGTCCATTTTAAAAGTGATCATATATGTATGATTTGTTTAGGTAACCTGTGTAAACATGCTGACACGTTGCTCTGCCTGGTTAAAAAGCACCAGAGCTGCATTCTTGACTGATCCAGCTGGATTTTACTCCTGTGAGAAGTAAGAATGGTACGCAATGAAGTTCAAAACATGGTACCCACTAGGCTGTTTGAATTCTGGAAACAGAAGTATGGATTCCTACTTATTTAAAAATGCATTTTCTAGATATGTTACACATTTGCAAAACATAACATTTATAGTTGTTGATTAGAAACTTAAGCACATGCAAAGACATACTGAAAGAGATAAAATTAGTAGAGTATTTGAAGTTTATAGATGTATACTGGACTGGACCTGAACATAAAAGAGGACAGAAAACTACACCCACACTATGTATATTACAGCTTTAAGAGTCCTCTAAATAGTAGTAACTAAACCTTTATCTTTGCACTTCAATTTCAAGGTTGCCCCTAGTCTTTACTAGATGCTAAATATATGTCTAGCATACAGTTTCTGAAAGTAACCACAGGGCAAAACAAACAAACAAAAATATCAGTTATACAGGGTCAAAGATAAACTTCCAGGTAAGCATTGTTTCCCATCATCATTAGCATGCTTTGCTTTTAAACTGTATAACTTAAAAATGTTTCAAATGCCTAAATGAAGTGCATTATGGATTGTAACAGATATACAGTAATGGAAAAAGCAAATTCCAGGCCGAGCTATAAACTTGCAATCTTCTTAAGTACTTCAAAACTATCTTGTATTAGTCTTCCGGTACAAATCTCATCTACACTTCTCACGAATAACTTCTCAAAAGATCACCAAATAATATAGTTATTCAACACTTCCAATATAACCTGTTCCCATTTAAAGGCAAAGCCTGCAAGGAAGAGGTGAAACCGAACACTTGTATGTTCTGAGGACCTGTGACTGACAAGATTGTTCATCCAAGAGCTGTGATTTCCAGAAAGTTGGGCACTGGGAAAATTTCTGGGCACAGAAATCCCTAAATCTAAAACCATCTTTTTCAGGTAAGGTACCAGGTTGCACTTCCATTCTATCTACAAAATGAAAGACAGTCTCCTTACTGACTGCAAAACTACTGTACATGAAATAGTTTTATGTTTTTAATTCACATTTCTCCTATGTTTGCCTTTCAACTATGCTAATCCTTAGCCACTTCTCCAAATCAGAGTGGGTTAAAAGACGCCATAGATAATTGCATCTTAAAAACCAGCTAATGTTTGTGTTTTATATCGAATATCAGAGGTGAGAAAGCAGAGACTTCGTTACCCAGTTATTTAATGTAAAAGAGTGAAGAACCTGGTATCTTCAACTGTTACCTACTTTCCATGTAAGAGTCAGATTTAACATAGTTACTGGAGCGAAAGTAAATTATCATCAGATTTTCCTTCCACAAAGCCAAGATTTATTCAAACACGCTAACAAGAAGGCCAGTGGCCTTTATTCAGATTAATAATAAACAAAAGATGTAGCAGCTATTGAGCAGGATTTATAGCTTCCTAAAAAGGGGCAGTTAATACTTGAAAACATTTTATGCATATTTAGGAATATTTTTGTTTGTTTTTGAAAGGCCTCTTGGTAATCTAAGGCCCTCTCAACTGACAGGTCAAGGTAATACACAGAACCTCCATAAAGCAGACGGAACAAATCAGGTTTCAGTAACCGAGCTGTTCAAATAGCAAATAAGTACAATATTATCGCAGCACTGCATTCTACAGTAAAAGAAATACCTAAAAACTTTTCACCTTACTACACCTTCCAAATTTAAATTTAATCTAACTACATTTTGCTACAACAAGCTTATTTCTATAATCTGGAAAGACTATTAGCAGTACCCTATTTTTTCAGGCAAGTTAGAAATGTAGATTCATTGCTGGTTCAAAAAAAACAAGTAGAACAACCCAAAGCACTCCAGGCAGGCTGACTGCACAAGCAGTGACCACCCGTTACTGCCCTCGGCACTCTCAGGTGCCAGGGGAGGTTGATGCTTGATGTTCTGCTGCTGCCCCCTGCTCCCGCACAGGCTGCACCAGAGCCACAGCTTGGAGATCGAAAAGTCTCTCAAGGAGCCTACTCACATCCATGACTTTGCTGCCCTCCTGCTGCTGCTGCTAAGTGACTATTTTCCTAAAGCCGACCCAGTTTAAGGTCAGGCCGCTGGATTTGAAGTGATGAGTTCAAAACTCTCAGAAGCAAGCAAGAAGTTAATATTTTTCATTTAATAATTTTATTTTTCTCATTCATTTTCTTAGGAACGCTCACCTTATAATACTGTCATTGTTCCCTTGTTTTTTCCCCCCATTGTTTTCACTTCAGGAGAACAGGAAAGCTGATTGGTATGACTCTCATTAGCACCTGCTAGCACCTCATTAGCTTATCCTGTACTAATAATACTCATTTCCATAGACTTCAGTAGGCTTTAAGGGTCAGATGCAAAGGGCACTAATATTCTTTTTTAATGTGTCCACTGGTTATTTTTAATAGCACTCTACTTTCATCCTTACTTCACAGAAATTTAATGATCATATATTAGAACAATATGCCTTTTCAGGACAGAGCTTTTATCTCTGTGTATTCTGTACAAATATATTAATTCACCTATTCAACACAAAAATTTGGAAAAGCTAGTTTTGAAAAACTTTTTAATAAATGGCTTAGTATGCCTTTATATATTGCTACCTGGATTTCCCAATCTCTTTCACTCCACTTTCACACTTCAGAGTTTATTCACTCATGGCCCACTCCAACAATCGCAAATCATAAACAGCTTCTATTTCTACGGAAGAAAAGCCATACCATGAAAGAATACAACTGGCACATGACAGAAGATCGTAACAATTCGTTTATATAAAATACAAATTTTGAAATCTTACCTCCTTGCTTTCCTCTAGATCTGACTCACTGCTAAATTCTTCTGTGTTTAGATGTTCAAAATCAGATTCTCCAACAGCTATTGGTACTGTAACAGTAAGGCTTGGGTTGTTTATGAATGATGCATAATCACTGCCACCTACAACACTGGTGGTTCCATTCTCATTTTTGTGATAATTCAGATCTTTCTTTATTTCAGCGATGGTACGGTTGGAAATGCAACGGTCTCTCTTATCATTCAACTGATCAGTTGCTTTTCTTTCATTTACAACAGTTTGTTTCCCCCAAAAAGATTTTTGGACACATTCACCTGCTTTTCTCTTCACACAATCTATTCCCTTCTGAATTCTTGCAACAGCAATCTGTAAATTGTTCATTTCGTTATCATCCTCTGTAGGAGAAAGGCTGTCTGAACTAAATGAACTCAGCAGCAATGCCAGAAAAAGGTTCAATACCTAAAAACAAAGACAATAGAGCTGGATTTTCCCACTTTATTCTTCATTCACATGCTGCTTCTATCACTGATTATTAACAACTTAGGCTTCACGTTGCTCTCTGCTGAATACGATTGTGGAAATTAAACAGTAAATAAAATGTAAACACAATGTAAGCATAACACCTGTCCTACATCCAATGCAGTTGTTTCTTTGTGATTTTGCACTGCTATATGACTATGAAGCCACTTGCATACTCTTCTTCTGTCAATGTCTGTGGAAGGGTATTAAGGTCAGAAATGAATGTATCTTTAGTACTGACTGAACAGATCCAAAATGTTTACTCCTCTGGCACAGTGGAGCACCCTGCAACAAAAGACATATCTCATCTTTGCAGGAAACAGCTTTCTTAGAGGCTGGCTCAAACACACGCAAATATGTTGCTGTATGTGACTTAAAACGATCCCCAAATCTTATTCATCTCTCATCTGCTTCCCCTGGCAAGAAGAAACATACAATAGATTTCAGTTATGTAAGGCCAGTGTCTACCAGGAGCTTAGCTGGTACTAGGAAAAGTCGATCCAAAGAACTTCTAGAGTGGCGGTTCTTGGGGGAACGTGTTATTTCATTTTAATGGGAATGACTGTGAATAACAGCAGTACAGACAAGACAGTGTTTTAGAAAACTCTGTTACTAGTACGAATGCATGACTCGTTTAAAGATCATTCTTATTGCTAGAAATTTTATTCCTAAAGAACAGCACCAAGACAGCTAATTTAAATCTTCTGCTGTTGACAGTTGCCTAAAGAGAAGATGAGAACTATGGGAAAACTCTGTAGGTAGTGAGAAGAGCAGAGCAAAAAGAAGAGTAATGAAGGCTTCTTTATCAACTATTACTCTATTAACTGGCAAATTAATAAATATAATACATATTTAAGAAAACAAATTGATATATGGGAGTGGATCTGATACTTTCCTCTTCAAGAGGAAAAGAGGTTAAACTATAGTCTGCTTTAAAAATGTCTGACTGTCGTCCTTAAAAAGTAAGACGAAAAAAGGCGAAGGAAATGAGAAGTATTTTAATCTACTTCTTTTCCAAAGAGAATTTGCTTCTCTTTGTCTAAGAATTTTAAAGCAGCCTTTTAAACAGGAAAGAGCAGAAAAAGAGAAAAGCTACCTGTATATGACTGGAAATAACATCTCTAACAGTTAGGGAGAAAAAGCCCTCATAAGTCCTCTTTTGCTACCAGGTAACCTCTGTTCTGGGAGCATACTACTTGTGGCTCCTTTTCTGCTCTCTCTAGGAGTGGTCTGCAAGGAACGAACACAAGACGCTTTTCTCTCCGTCTCTCCTCCCCCTGCCATACCCTCTGAACTACAGTCCAGAGCCTTGAGGGAGCCCATTCTCCAATTTGAGGATGTTACTAAAAACCTAACAAACAGAAAATTGTATTTCTGAACCTACTCATAATGACTTCAAAAATCATAAAAACCCTATGTAAATAACACATTTAATGCTAAAAACAACTCTATCACTGGTTTCATTACAATTCTTTCTCTAAATGAATTCTCAAATTATTTTGGCTACATACCACTAGGTTTCCAATCACCATGACCATCATGAAGACAGTAAGGCACATGGGTTGGCCTGCAACCTCCATGCAGTCCCACATCGTCTCTATCCATTCTCCACACAGCACTCGAAATACAATCAAGAAAGAGTGGAAAAAGTCATGCATGTGCCAGCGTGGCAGTTTACAGTCGCTAGAGATCTTGCAGACACAGTCCTTGTAGCTTTTCCCAAACAGCTGCATCCCAACCACAGCAAAAATGAAGACAATGATGGCCAGCACCAGGGTCAAATTTCCTAGAGCTCCCACAGAGTTACCGATAATTTTTATCAGCATATTTAGAGTTGGCCAAGATTTTGCTAATTTGAAAACTCTCAACTGAAAAACAAAAATATGGAGACATGTTATTTGCCATAGTTACAAAAATGATGTAGAAATACAGAGAAAGCTATAGGCTGTAGACTAGTGTCACTCTGCAATACCAAGATAAACTTCACCAAGTTTCCAAAAACTACAACTTACTCAGAAACATAAATTCCATAAAATTCCCAATTTTTAAACTTAATAAATTTGAGGCCCTTCTCTCCTATCTTTTGCACAGCATATCTGTATCCTGTTCTCTATGAACAAAACAGCCCATTGGTTGTATCCGTTTGGCTAGTGAACTCTGACAGGGCATATATCTCAACCTTTATGTGCAGAAACGCATGAAGAAATAAAAAAAAAAAAAAGGGTTCTGCTGAAGGAAAATAAAGGATTCAAAAATCCTCAAAAGACAGAGTCTTCCAACAGAATATTGTCTTCAACAAATTTAAAAAGTGTCAGGCCCACAAGCATAAGCTCTAACCTAAATGTTCCCACTTATGCAGGAAAAAAGTGTAACTCTCATTCTTCCTTATCCCTAATCCAGCAAAAAGAATAAAGGTATAAAATATTTTTATTTTCAGATAAAAGCATAATGGAAAAATCAGTCACTGAAAGAAACCACAGGGAGAGAATGTCTCAAATAGTCCACTACTCTTTTTAACAATAAAATTATTTTCCTATTAAAATAAAGCATTCATTTTTTCCTGAGGGAAAAGAAAATTATTATTTTTATTAAACAAATTTATAGATCCTACATTTTAAAGAACAGTCCTAGTGTTTTGACAGCTGCCAAATACGAAAGCAGATAAAAGACTAGGAATATTTAATTTACATAATCTTTCAATATGCACTAAATTCCACACTTCACTGTGCTGTTATCCAGCCACATTAACACAATTACAATAAAATTACAACTCTTTC